GGAATAAAACCCTTCCAACCAAGGATCGGGTGATCCAAAGCTCGATGGAGCGATGTGTGATGCTTCCTTGCCCGCGCTGGTCAAAGGTTGGCCTTATGACAGGTCTAAGAGTTGTTTGCCAAATCAAACAAACGGTCAAACACCCACTGTTTTGGCGCGTGGCAGAACCACAACTGCCAGTTTAATAATGCGTATTTCAGCATACGGATACCGTGCAAAAGTGTGCCGAGCTGGTTGGTGGGGCATCCTTAGGATTTTTGGGTAATAGGGACAGCGCTGTCTAATTCATTCTGCAGTGGTGCGGGAGAGGCCTTGGGACTTGCTAAAGTGCTGACATCTGGGTGGCGGAGGTCTTCTCCTTGCTCGGGTGGGGCACAGCCGAGGAACAGGACACTGTTTTAGGGCCATTAAAAAGTTGCAAGATTTGTGCCTTGAAGCTTACTTGAGCGAATCCATCCGTAGTCGTGCCAGCTCCACCAACGGGTGGGCTCGCAAGCAAGGGGTCCTGGGAACTCACATGGGCTTCGTCAAGTGTGTGCGCCTCATCGCTCAGCAAGCACTTTGCGTCAGGAGGTGGCGATCTGAGTTGCAGCATCAGCAAGGCATTGAGAACCCCCTAGGAAAGGATCGTGTCAGCGCTCATCAGGGTGTTTTCAGACAAGGCCCAGCGCACCATCCCAGCACACCTTCGCCTGCGCGCGGATTCGTCCCATGACGACAGCAAGGTTGGATTATGGTTCACCTAGTACATTTCGGTGAAGACATCATTCCTAAGTTGTGTCAGCCGTGGATTAGGATAGAAGTGAAAACCCTTAACAAGTTTGAGCACTTTGCAATTCTTGTTGGACAGTCACTGTGGGATTCCTCCATGGTTGCCACACCGTGTGTTCTGGAACGATGAGGGACCCCTACACCCACGGTCAGCAGGTCCAGCATGAACCCGTATGATGCCGGACTCATTAGCGCTGCCCACAAGCTTCTTGACAGCTGGGCAATGCAACTGGGTTCGAAAGGATCAACGCGATGGTAGCCCTGCTGATCCCCCCTTTAGGGGTCCCCCCTTTAGGAGTCCCCCAAGCCCTACTTGGGGCAACTGCGTGGAGCTTACACAGTCGGCAGTAGGTGACGTGGGGCGCGCCTCCTATCCGTACACGGCAGGGCATGGCACGTGCACTCCATTGATGTGGGTGCACCGAGCGGGGACTCTACAACTGTGGATCCTCACCGTCATGACCTTCCCCATGGACACCGTTGCGGCGAGTAAGAAAAAGGATACTTATGTGATTCCGGCACTTGGGAATTTGAATATGGAAATATTCGAGAACGAACCGTTTATATTATATCATTTGTCGAGTGAGGAATACTCATAAAGAATGTTTTGGACTACCCACCTTTATGTATGGAAATTGCGCCAGTTTTGAAGACAGCAAATAAAACGTAGCACGCCAGCCCACACGCAATGTACCATTCGGCAAGGCTAAGGAGGAAGGGTGGGTTCCTTGACACGTTTGTATTTTTGACCAAGGAAAACAATGGATGTACAAGGACGCCCTACACCAAGAAGCCTGAGATGTCAAGTGTAAAAGATTTTTTTCCCGAAGCCGTCCTTATGAGAGATATTCTTTCAGATTTTTCAAATATGTTGACCTGGGATCATAAGACTAAATCGAGTGGTTAATTCTAGTGCATTTTGTGGGAGTGTCGGCTGTAGTTTGTATTTACAAGCATTGGAGGGAGACTACATTCAAGCGTGTTGGAAATTCGAATGCAGAGCAACTTCCCAAACTTTTTGATGATCTCATGTGCTTTGTCATTTCCTCGCACAGTGAAGGCAACCATGGCAAACGCTGAAATGTTTAATGAACTTTCAATCAATTCAACATCATCAGGTAGGACTGATTTTGTCAAAACGATCAGCTAATTGATTTGTGCTGGCAATACTGCATTAGGGAAATTGATCCGCGCATTAATCTTTTTCAACAAAATTTCTTGGCCGGACGCCATTGTCACAGACCCCTATTTAGACAGGCCGTCATATGCAATGAAGCGGAATTGTCAGCTTGAGGTTCACGCACTCAAGGGACGAACGCATGTAAGGGCTTTCCTTGCTCCCCCGCCCCGTGCACAACATATTGTCGCATTGACTGGGTAGGCCCCTGGGATATTTAACATTTTCCCTAGTGGCTTTGGTAAGGGACCATATATACTAATATTTTTCAAAGGGTTTTAGGGGCCAACCCAGTTGAGCAATGTGTGATTTCATTTCATCCGTTTCAGTGGGCAGGTTTTCGTCAGATCTTGGTTGGCTTATTGTTTCGTGGTTGATCTTGCATGTCACTGTTGATTTCAATTAATTTGTCTAGACCCTGACAAGATCTTCTTATCGGAAGATGGTCTAATAAGGCTAGCAACATCTCGGGTGACAAAGCAGGCAAAGTTGCGGTTTCACGCACCATGTGGGCAGACTGTGAAACATATTTTTTGTTGGGCTACAGCAGCATCTGTTGTCAGCGGGCGGCCATGATTTTCCATGTGCTTTGCTGAAGACTACATTGCATAAATCAAAAGCAGCTTGTAGTGTCTTTCTGTTACCTACGAGGACAAGTTGAGCGTCGCCTAAGAAACCATGATGGATGGGTTGGCAGACGTCAAGATGGCTGACAGATGGGGTCGCAGCACGACCCAACAGCATCTCAGTTTGATGCATGTGTGCCTTCTTTTTTCTTGAAGTCACAAACGGCAATCGCCGCACAATTGACGAGCAATTCAATCATGGTGGCACTGCAGGTTGCGAGTGCTTGCTTGAGCCTATGTAGTGCTCCATGCAGGACATCGGTACCAAAGCTTTGGGATGGGATGGGAAGGTGAGAGTTGGGCCTTGAAGGTGCGTAATTAAACATCATGAGCTCCCTGGTCACAGATGTATAAAGCAAAACAAGTTGCAGCTTGGTCATATGGATACAGGACCCTCGGGATGGCACTTGGAAACCACCACTGCAATCTGCATCACCATTCGCGCCGTCTTCCCAGCTGACATGACAACTCGCCATATCTATATTAATGTATATACTAATATAGATATGTCGACATGATGTTTGTACTTTTCTTTCTCGTATACTCCCAGCATGAGTGTGTTGGCTTCAGGTCGGCGGCGCGGTCTGTAACATGGCTTGATGGGTTCTTTTCTCTAGGCCACACGGGGCCAACGGGTCGGAAAAGGCATCGGCCAAACATGTGAACAAATTAATAGCTTCATCTTGGCTTGGAAGTTGTTCAAGATGTTGAACATGTTCTCAGAACTAATGAGCCCCATCCGACGGATATTCATGCAACGTAATACGATCAGTAAGGACACATGGGCAGGCGCTCCCGTGATCCAGGCAGTCACCGATGAGTATCGCAGACGATATTTCTGGAATCATACCGAAGCCACAGCGACGTGGCATCCACCTCCTGCCCATATTGGATTCTGGGAATGTTTGGTTGACTACAGGAGCGCTGTGTGTATGCTTCTGTTTTCGTCAGAGCTTGCAGCCTTTCTGTTTTACACACGCGAGGACGGGACGGCCCTACTTCGCACATCGGGGGAGCGGTCGAACAGCCTGGGAGTTGCCGGGTCAGGTGCATCCGCGGCAGCTTCAGGCAGGAGCCCCAGCATTTTTGCTGGTTGTCACATGAGCTCCGGTTCTGTTGGCAGGGTCATCTTCCCTCACCAGAAGCCCTGAGTGAAGCATCGACCAGCCAAGCTGGTGCTCGAAGTACAGGAGACGCCTGGGTCCCACCAAACATGCCGCCAGTTCTTGCTCCAGAACCCACGAGTTCGTCAAGCTCTTCTGCTGCCGAGCTGAATATTCCTCCACACTCCCGCAATGATTGTCAGCGCTCTGGGCACGAAGAGGGAGCAGATTCGCAAGATGAAGGCGCCAATCACCATTTTGGCATGTCCAGCTCCATTTCTGTTTCTGACGGGTCTGCAGTGGGCTGCAGAAATACTTTCTGCTGTTTTTGCTTTGCCTTGTGGTTTTGGATTTGGCGCTGATTTGTCTATGTGTCCTAGAGGCATGTATCAAAAGAGAATCTCTTTCCTCCTGAGATAACCAGATTGTAGACCAATCCATCAATGCACTGGGACCAATGCCACAGATGGAGTATAGAGTCCGTTCCTCATCACAGGAGAAGGTTTGTGTTTGGTTTCTGTTTGTTCTGCCAGCGCTCGCCTAAAATGACAGATGTATCCATGCATTTTTGGGCCAGGCGCAATGTGTATAAGTTGTCAGGTCGAAGAGCGGCCCGAATTCGGACGCGGCAAACTTTGGAGGAGATCAAGGCTCGCAGGCGCAGTCAGGGGACTCTTCAGTGCTGTTTGGCAGCATTGGAGTGATATGCAAGAACGTAAGCATGACCTGACTTGGACACGTTACATGTCTTGCACCCTCATTGTCTTGGATGTTGCTAGCTACCTGGCCTGTTCTGGCTTCAGCGAGATTTGTTTGTAGAAGCTTCGCATTTCCGATTTCCTTGGAACGAGAACGCTGGTCCATTGTTTGGCAAGTCTTGTGGCATGGATGGTTTATGATTGGCACTTGAATCCCAAATCCCGCCCAGTCTTGCCGAGCGCGGATACCGACGAGCTCCGCCTCAAGCATGCCGCCGAAGAGCAACGAGCAAGCTCTTGTGTTGACGATGCACAGGCCGACCGTAGCCCAGAGGAGCTGGTTTGCAATGGTGATCAAGAAGAAGATATGCGGCTTGACGACACATGTGCCCATGGGCATGGTGCATTTCAAAAGCGAGTGTTGAGAGAGGCGGGAACTTCCTTGGTGTGAAGCTAAGGCTTTCGGAGCCTTTTGCAGAATGGCAGAAAAACACTGAGGAAGAGTTTGGAGATGAACTCCTTGACGATCATTCTTGTGCAGGAGTCACGCATTAGCATTATTTAGCATTAGCATTAGCATGAAATCATGGCGTCCCCACCTTTCCCTGTCGTATCATCTCTGAAGGAGCTGCACCGGACCTGGTAGATTTGGTTGAGGAGGATGTGCAAGAGCGCCCTGATTGAAAGTAGCGGGCATAGCGCAAGCAGCATTCAGGAACTTGCGACAAGTCGTTCCAACACAGAAGAGCCACAGACGCTGAGGTCTCGGGGGGATGAGAACATGGAGCATGAGCTACTTCATGAGCTGATCCCAGCATCTTGCTTGCACCGAGTATCACATAGGATGGATGAATGACGTGCTCAGCTGCTAGGATTCGGCAAGTGAGATTTTCGAGCGGGAAGATCGGGAATTTGCAGAGGAAGAGGCCATCAAGTCTCTTGGCTGCACAATGCTTTCAGTCACCATGCTCGCAATATCGCAGCAAAACCATGTGGGCAAGGCGAGAGTTGTTTGCTGAGATTCAGATGATACGTGAGAGCAGCTTGGAGACAAAAAAGGGTGTTTCCAAGTGCAGCATCCTGTCTCCAATGATCACGAAAGCCAAATGGGCCTAGGGGTAACTTACTTTTCGAGACACCATTCAATGGCTTAGAAAACCATGATAAGCACCCGGCTTGGATTGGGTTTGGCAGAGGCAACGCACAACTTGCCATCAGAGCCACAAAGCCGCAAACTTGCTGTGAAGGGGCATATGGAGGCAAGGTCGCCTTGAAGCCCACATCACAGAACGAACCATTGTCAGTGCTCGGAGACCCCTCGTTTGCACACCATGTGCCCTTGCTCTCCATGAGCACTTCATTTACATGTCTTGTTTACCATTAATCTGCTGTTTGCCTTCTCTTCCTTGCGACCCGATTCATTTTAAAATTAGGTTGGTCTTTGTGACATGTACTCACGTCTTGTGTTCCCCATCCAGACCATCTACTGCGGACAATCGCACATGTCCCCCGCTTGCCTCTGTCTGGCAACTTTGAGATGACGAGGTCAAGACGAGGATGACCGTGAAGAAGAAGAGTGGCAAGTGGACGAGGAGGAGTTCGTCGAAGAAGCAACAGCAGCTGTGGAAGAGTTGGCGCAAGAAATGCAGGCAAGGGAGGCTGCTGTTTTGGCGCAAGAAATGCAGGCAAGGGAGGCTGCTGTTTTTGCCCCAGCTTCGTGCTGGGAGATTAACAAGCTCGCGGTGATCCTTTGGGCTTTCCTGTTCTTGGCTTCCCCGGCTCTATCTCTTTGTCATGCCTCCAGTACCCTCATCGTGTTTAAGACCTCGATTGTTGGATTGTAATCCTGGAGCTGCTTGAGGGTTAGCTTGAAACAAAGGGAGTGCGCATGGACTGCACGAGGTTTCAGGTTGGTCTAAAGGTCGTTGGAAGAAATTATTTCGGGTTTCTGTAGGTCTTTTTTGGGAGCTAGAATCTTGATCAACTACCACATGCAATCTGGTCCAAGACCTTTTTGAGATCAGGCCGTCACGGCAAAGAATTAAGGCAGCCGACTGTGTCTACTCCATACGGGAATGGCTGCAGCTAACGCCCCAAAAGGGGAAGAGACTTGTTCATGACTCTAGCCAGTCTTGGCCAGATTTGCCAGTTTTTGATGGAGCCTGGCCCACAACGAATGTAAAGAAGCTGACCCTGCAAAATGCACAAGATTGAAGACCTCATGGAGACCACAACAACAACAAGAACAAGAAGAACAAGAAGAAGAAGAAGAATAGTAAGAATAATAATACGAATTACAACAACTGGTTCAAACAGGCGACCCTTCGGAACAATGACGCCAACGAGAATTCAGATTACGCAATGGTTTGTCAAAACCATTGTTGAGCTCACATGACAATGATCAGATCCTTGATGGTTTGGTGTTCAGACAGGCAGACAGCAGTTGGGGTCGGCTCACGGATTTGATGTTAGTTTCTCTATATTTTCATGCCTCACAGCATTTTGGGACAGCCGTCCTTCTCCACAGCTCCCGCTAGCACTGTTTGAAATTTGCCTGGCTAGAAGCAGGTCATGCTTGTTGGTTTGTTTCTTCGTTCATCCTGTCAGCCACAGCTCGCCGAGCGGAAACTTGATCCACAAGCCATTGCCTTTTGCATTCGGTCGGTCCTCTGTAGACGCACACGTTTGTGAAATGTAATCAGATCGTCACACAATGCAGCAAGAAAGCTTTCATTCAAGCTTCTCACGCTTCAAAGTGCTGCTCCTGTTGGTGCAGCGCATGTGCAGGCTTCACAGGCTCATCCTCGGGCCGAGTCCAGCGTCAGCGTCCGCAAGCTGCTCCCCAAGACAAAGCGGAAGCCAACCCCTCCATCAGAGCCACCAAGTTGGTACCGCCAGGAGGGCTTTGCCGAAGAGGCCGGTGACAATCCAAAGATGTTCAAAGTGGCGCTGCGTGTTAGTATCGCCCCTGCCAAGGAAACCACATCGGACGCAGTCCAAGGTTCCCGAAGGGGCAATCGCAGGATGGTTGGAAGCCAAGGAAAGGAAGCTCGCAAGCAGAAACGAAAAGCGGAATACTGGCAGTCGCCGCCTCCCTCGGCCTCGGGACGGAAGAGTTCCAACAAGAGGCAGGTTATGATGAAGGGCGATGACCCTGGTGACGGCGATTTGGACTGGCGTGGATCGGATTGGTGGGAAGGAAGGGAAGAGTGGAGCGACGATGGCCGACATCGCAGGGTTGATGCTACTCGCGAGGCTAAGCTGATTTGGACATGCCCTGCCAAGGTGCTGACTATCTCTAGCAGTGCCCATTCTAGGCTAGCTGTTAGTGCGAGGAATGGTCCTGGAAGGAAGGAGCTTGGTCCAGATCTTCCAGCTCCAACAGAGGCCAGCTGTGTGCAGTGTGGTTTCCATGGTGTGTTGTGGTGACTGTGGTGCTTGCTTGCTTGCTTGCTTGTCTCCTGCCTTGCCTGCCTTGTCTACAACCTAGAAATATCACCCCAGGCTGGAGCTGGAAGCGCAGCTGACTGGAAGGTCAAAATTGCCGTCCGTTTGGCACAGATCCACCTTAGCATTGGGAGGTCTGCGAATCCTCGTGCAGCTGTTTGGCTAGTAGATGCAGAGTGATTGGAAGAGTGACTGACATGTCTCACTGCGTCTTGCGGCAGATTAACACCGTAGATTTGGATGATTCGAGAATACAAGCAACTTGCACCCCCTTGCAGCTATGGCTGTAGTGGAGGGGCGAGCGGCGAAGTGCTTGGCAGGATGTCCTGAGCTCGCTCCTCATACCTTGCAGTGCAGCAGGATATGTGCAGCCTGCGCTCCCAGCTTGTAGGTTGCGGCTTCCTGCAAGTTCTGTCGCGTATTTGGATTCTGTGCTGTCCGAGCTCACCACGGCCGAGATGCAAGAATCTTGCCGAAGTACTTCATTGGTGTCCGACTTTGCGAAGACTTCCTCATTTGCCTTGCCGCCTGCTTTGACGTTGCTCTGAATTTTGTTGCCGTGCGTGGAACCTGGTTCAAAGGACTATAGCACCGTGCGAGTTCTGTTGGAGCCGTTTCTCCTGGATGGATTGACTCCCAGCTCAACCTGCATGCTGTATGAATCTTGCCTACTTGATACTGCACCTGATGCTTTGAATTCTCACTCTGTTGGGAGCACTGGCTGCAGGAAACAAAGTGGACGCGAAACACCTCACAACAACATGAGCGATGCAAAAGTTGAGCTACTCTGCTTCCTGGATGTATTGGATGCGTGGGAAGACAGCCACCTCGGTTTGGAGCATCAGTTGGGACACACTGATGGCTTTCTGGAAGGTAAGCGGATTTTTGACCAGCTTGGACAGACCGGCAACTTTCAAGGAGATCCATTCATGTGCATTACTGGGTTGGGTGTCTTAATTGGCACGCCGGTTTGGGAATGGAGGGGAAGCGGTGAGAGAGGAGGGACGGAAAGATAGGTCGTGCGAGGATGGTTGAAGAGCCCAGCTGCCTAAACAGGCTTTGACTCGAGGCTCGCGTTGAAATTCGAGGTCTGGAGAGGGAGGCCAAAGTCAACCGAGCAATTTTTGTCAGAATGTGGAGGAGTTTCGGAACGCCTTGGTGAGCCATCGCGTATTTTCCATGCCCTTCGGCATGCCGCCGCATCAGCTTCTTGGAGATCTGTAGAGGTGTCTTAGCAGAACACGGCTTAAGTCAGTTGCGCAGTCTTTCGTCTTAGGTTTCAGACACACTGTGCATTCCAACAGATGTTGCAACTTGGCTTGAATCATTAGTGATGCCTGCGACGCACTGCACAGCAGGGCACTTGCAGTTAGTTTGGCTCAAGATGCTAATGCACAAACCAGCCAAGGCATGTTATCAAAGCCAGTCAAGGCAGAAGTTTTATTGTGTATTGACGAGAACCGTAGCAGCTGTTCACAAGTTATATTGGGGTAGCGTAATCCGTTCGTACTGTGCAATCGAGCTCGGCTTATACCTGTACTGCATATACAGAGCAGGAGCAAGATCATCATGTCCCTCATGTGATGGAGCCTCCGAATGGGCTGTTGCATTCTGCAGAAATCAGTGACGTTGCCATCCGTGCGATCTCTGCAAACAGACGTTGCGCGGCGGCCACTTCATTCATTCACCATTGTGATTGCGATATTGTGATTGCGATGGCTGTTGGTATATCGGTATCAACTAACAAGCAAGTTGTTACCAAAGGATACATTGCGACGTGCGCAGAAGACTTTTCTGCGCGGTTGTATGATGCGTGACTTGCATGCAAGAATTCCACCCTTGGAAGTGGTCAGCATGTGCTGCCGTGCTTGCATTACTGAGGAGGGGTACCCTCCTTCACACATTCCAGACATCACAGAAGACCCGGAATGTGGCCCTGTCAGAAGCATGACCAGAATTGGCTTTCAGCTGCAGAGATCGGTACTTTTTGCGTCTGAGAGACCCTCCGAGCCTTGAGGACAAGTATTTGGTGACAGGCGAGAAGAACGGACAAGGCGAGCTTTTTGACCTCAGCAAGCGGCTCCTTGACGACAACAGGCTTTTGAAAACAGAGGGGAGTGTACTGCTTCTTGTCCTACTTATTCTAAGCAAGTTGGATTCCAGCCTTAGGAATCGTGTCTCTGTGTTCCAGTTTGGTGGCAAAGTGACCATCACCATGTACAACGTGGCCATTTCTGCAGACCATGTCCTGCTTTCGCAGGTGCCTCAGTTTGCTTTTGAGTTCTGTTTGATTAAGTGGCATTTTAGACGCGTGAGTCAGGTCTTGCCGCGGGTTTGGCATGAAGACAAACGCAGAGGACAAGGGACTCCCAATCACACGCTCTAGAAAAGGTCCCATGACCAACATGTTTGCTCCAGGACCGAAAGCTACATGTTGCCAACTTGTACACGTTGGATGGAGCTTTGCAACACTCCCTGGATCATGGGTCACTACTGGGCCGTTCTGGTATCTGCCAGGCACTGAGAAGTGAGAAATTGCCGTGCACTCACTGTCCGGATAACAGGCTTCAGAGCCAGGGCGTGTTGTCGTGTTCGTGGGGGGTACAGGGGTAGCCACTTGCATTGCAGGCGTTGTGCATTCGACTGCTGTGCTGGTTGCGCATTGCAAGCTTACTGAAGGAGTGTTATTTTCAAGCAGAATCATCAGCCTCAGGCAGTGCTTGGGCCCGGGGCAGATAGCCATCAATCTGAGGTTTATGCATGTCGAAAGCAGCGACTTCTGGTGAGGACAAGGTGGTCAAGGTGCAGTTCTGTTTGTCGGGTCCATCTGTGTTAAATGGGGAGCTGGATATTGCTGATGATGCACCAGGTATGGGATCTAATCAGCGGCCAGCTGCTGCACACCGTTTCCATAGACAAGGCTTTCCGCCTGTTTTTCCTGATGTTTGAAATTGGCAAGTGGCCTGTGCTGTTGGTGACGCCGAAACCTCTAGACTCTAGGCTTGTTCTTTGCATGGTAAGTTTATTCCTTTCTGAGTTTGGCCATTGGTTTCGCAAATCAAAAGCATGTGGCATATAGCTGTCGGCAGGATCGCAGTCCTGGCGTGCAGTTCCTGGGTAACCAGCTGTTGGTGTCAGGACTGTGCAACCTTCATTCAGTGTATCAGTGTTTCAGATCACACAGAAGTGATTTCAACACATTCAGAGGAGCTGCACACACTTGAATGTTTCACAGCTGCTTGGGAGGAATCAACTATGTTGGCGTCTATGACTTGCAAGCGTACAATCTTGAGCGCCAGTTGCAGGTGTGCCGCGTTGCTGGGCTTGGTTAGACTTCAGCTGGTGAGTGTCAAGGATTTGAGGTGACGAGTTCCCTTTTTGGCTGAGCTTTCTGTGCAACGCAAGGGTGGCAAAGCTTTCCTTACTCGTGCTAGATTTTCTTGGCTTCCGAATCCCATCGAATCACAGTTCCATCCCACAGTGTTTAAACCGAGATGGCGGTAGAGATACCCCATTAGCCAAATCCCGGCCATTCATGAACCCCTAAACTCTTCTAGACTCAGAAACCAGCAAACACCAGGAATCCTGAGATTTGGCAAAGTTGAAGGATTCAGAGAGTTAGATCGCTTGTAAATTCCGCATGTCCCATTTCAGATGGAAGAGGGGCATGTCGCAAGCTCTCAGCGTTTTAGTTTACTTGGCTAACCCATGGTACCAAACTACATCATGGAACTGGTGACATGTTCCTTCTAGCCTGGTCGTTCCCACAGCAGAGACTGTACTGTGTGGTCACTGCGGGTGTTGCACCACCGGCGCATGTAAGGGTGAACGTGAAGGGTGGCGAGTGGGAGCCGGATGTTTTAGAATGCCAGGCGCAGGTGTGTTGAATTGTGTTGAACTTCAACTGGAGCCCCAACGAAGAGTATGGAGGAGTTCTGAAGGCCTGAGGGATGACACCTGACCCATGGCTGTCACACCCCCCGGCCACTATGCATCTACCATGCATGTTCTTTCCTGCCTAAGGCTCCTGAGGTTTTTAGTCAATACATGTTAATTTAACCGCTAACGCGAGACCGCCTCGGCAAAGGTACCCCAAAAACCTCCCTTCCGACCCTCCCCCCGACTTCCGACCCCCCGACCTTCCCGGGTTAACTTACTCTCCCAGACTCCGGACCTGGATCTAAGCGCCCCGGAGGATTGTTTGGCTTTGTGGCAACATCTACTGTATCATGGCCAGGGTATTGTGAGACGACTGTAAGAATGCGCGTCACCCGTCTCAGAACTCACAACTCCCCCAGCTCGATCTTGCACTGATTCTTTGGTAGCTGACCAAAGGGGAGTCCTACCACAAACTCAACGTTAGGTAAGAACTGTCGCTGCGAGCTTGTCTTGCACATGTAGATGCAAGTATCTAGCTTGCTACCCGGGAAGGAGTAATTGCCCTTCCAAAGCTTATACAGATACTTTTTTATTTGAGCAACTGTTCCTCGAAGTCATGCGCACAAGAAGGATCCTGTGAAACTTAAGGAGTTGGTCATGCATCTCATATTGACTCTGCAGCTCGTTTTCGGCAGTTTCAACTTCACTTCGGACCGCGAGGGAACATCCAGCCACACCCAGCCCCCCCAAAGTTGCGGAAAGGTTTCCACATCCTCTGTATCCGGATTGACCTGAACCAAGTCAGCGTATTCAATACCCAAAGAACGTCCTAAGTCGCCCGAAGCATCCCAAACATTCATTAGCCTCCAATGAAACCCTCAGTTCCTAAGCACCTAGGTACACCATGCAGGCCTTAGATGTAAACCTGAGGTGGAGCAAGGGACGCTGCGTGCGACTCCGCAGACATATCCACGCCTTGCAGTTGGGGGCAACTATGTTGTTTCAGCAAGCGAAGATCGGCATGCCAGTGTTTGGACACTGTCTGATGGAAAGCTTCTTTGCACAATTTCAGATGAGAGGCGCATTTCTGGAGACTTCTATGCTGCCATTTGCAACGAGCGATTGACCCTGATTTGTGGCAAGACCTTGAAGATATATGATCTCAGTGTTCACGCTGGCTACAAGCGGACGCTTTCGGAGAGCCTCGGGATCTCACTCCGCTATCTCCTCAATGAGTTTGAGGATGTTGCGCAGGCTGCCACTGGGAAGGCGGGAGGGAAAAGCAATGGATCCAGAAGTTATTGAATTTTAAATCATGATTTAATAGTTCTCCTTAGGT